AAATTAATTTTTTCCAAAATCCTTCGTTCAGGGACCCGCTAGACTAATCTATTTTTGAAATGTACCTTTGTTTTTTTTTTTCAGGTAAACCAGTGTAGAGAAATCTTGCTCACCGCAAACCTACGTTTTTAAATCATCGTCTACGTCATCGGCTGTTATGACGATATAAATTAAACGTTTCTTAAAACAAAAAATGTTTTTTAGTTCTTTAAAACATGCTATGTAATATACTTAATTGCTACTAATGCAAATTATTATTTAATAACTAAAAAAAAAATCACAAAAAAATGTCGTTTTTCCTCTTCCTGACTGCGACTAACCCCTTAAGCAGAAATACCCACAATCGTATGTGGTGTGAAGTTGTATAAAGTTGTGTGTAGTTCTCATCGTAGCAAATTAGTACAAAATTATTTAATGAATAATCAGTTAGAAGTATTAGAAGTAACGGTTCCTTCGATCGTAAAGGAAATTTCGGGACATCGACAAGTCTTCGAGGACCCCCAAACGCAGGCATGCCCCCCATCCGGGCTTCAAGGGGGCTGGCCAAAAGGGACCTGGAGGTGTCGTCGCGAACGCCGTCAGGATCGTACGTCACTTCTGTTGAAAACGTCAAATCGTGAACAGTTTAGCAAAGTGACATTGAATATTGAAGGTAATTATTTAAGGATACTGACAAGACATCGCGAAGTGTGCACCGAATTCTGTAATCAGAAGTTTTTCCTGTGTATAGAAACGTATGTAGAACAATCTGTGAAAGTTGGAACGCGCAACTCTCTCTCGTTTTCGAAAAATAAATGTTTAAATGTGGGTGGAGTGTCAAGTTGTGAAGTTAATATTTTGCCCTGAACGCGGTTCGATCCCGGTAGGAGACACTTATTATTTTTTGTTTTGATATGGAAACTACCTTTCTATTGTATACAGATTATTTTAATAAAATATCGTGTAATTTGTATGTTTTTTATCGCATTGAAAAGGGAGTCAGGATGTGGGGAAGAGTTTTTACAAGCTTTTATAAAAATTATTCACAGCGTAAATTTTACATTTTTATTCTTAGAGTAGGGCAAATGGTGATTACGCTGTAAATAATGTTTATAAAAGCTTGTGAAACTCTTCTCCACATCCTGACTCCCTTTTCAATGCGATAAAAAATATAAAAATTACACTATATTTTATTAAAATAATCTGTATACAATAGAAAGGTAGTTTCCCACTATTTGTCATGGGCATATCACAGGCCTCGCCGCCACCACCTGTTTTCGCGGCGGCCGTCCAGCAGCCCCCGCCGCCACCGCCAACTTTCGCGGCGGCCATGGAGCAGCCGCAACGCAAGAATGTGGTACATTTAAAAATAATCGTTAACCAAAATTATGTCAATAATTTTTTATTAGTACTTAAAATTAATATATTCCGTCATACTAATTTCAGAGTAACAGGCGGCGGCGGCAGCGGCAAAATAGACGCCGCAGAAGGACCGCGGCAAGAGATGTACTACTAACGCGGCCTCCACCCGCGAGAACGCAACAAGAGAGACGACAGGGACCGATAAATAAATATATTTATATAACGCAAAGTTTTTAAAAAAATAAAATAAAATATGGGTAATATCATCAAGTGTATATTACCTTAATTTGTGTTTCCCATATACACCCTAGTCCAGAAGTTCCCTAACCTTTAAGACCCGCGGCTCCCTTAGTATACAGATTACACTGCCTAACAAATTTAAACTTTTTTTAAATTCCGCGATATCCACTAGGTAATTCTAATAGGGTTCCTCGTCCTAAATACAAATCTGAAGACATATTCCTTCAGAATTATCTGCTTTTTTGAATGCCTGTAAATGAACGCCGAAGTTCAAAAAGTTGCCGACGCGAGTACTTTTCACGAAATACTCTTATATTTTAATGAAAAGTTATTCACCTAGGTCGAATTTACTATGCATTATAGGTTTCTGCAAACATTTGTGAAGAGAAAACCACCCGCCGCGAATGTTGTAACGTTTTCTAGTTCGTACAGATCCAGAAAATATTAATTTAGAACGCACGAATTCTGTTTGCCGGCGCGCAGGTTTCACTCGTTTTATATCGGTGAATCAGGGCCGTCGTCATGCGTTCTGCACAATCGTCGCCACGCGCTTTAATCTTTTTTTATTTAAGTTAGTGTTTGGGGGCTAAACTCTGCTCTAAAGAGAAATTTGTCAGGTAGCAGTTTTCATTTAAAATTAACAACAAAATATGCAATTATAGATTGAATTAATTTTTAAATAATTCAAGTTAGATTTAAATAAAGTTTGCACAATACCAAATTAACAAAAGTCGAATAATTGAAGATACAAAAACAGGAAATTAATGATTAAAATTTAAACAGTGGAAAATTGTTTCCGTTTTATTGAGTTCCAGTATAAATGAAATATTAAAAATGAAGAATTACTTATCTGGAACATGTAAATGTAATACAAAAACCGATAGCGCGTGGCGCCGTTTAGCCAAATCCCGTAGCGACGGCCTTGACTGACCGAAACATAGCGAGCAATGGCTGTGCAGCGGCAAAACACCGTTCAAAACTTTTCTATGGATAGGTTTTTTTTATACAAATTTTTGAATTTTTTTTCGATTATTTTTTAGATACCTTCACATTTTAGGCCATATATCGTATTAGAAACGTCCGATTGGGTCGCGCAAGTTGCCATATCAAAGGTAATCGAATTTCCAACAAGTGCGTTTCACATTGTTTTCCAATCGGTTCAATAGTTCAAGTGTGACGGGCCAACACATATGAGAAACCTTCAATTTCTTCGGCTAAATTAGAACACAAAAATTTCTTCCATTGCCATGCAAAATTAGTAACTGTCAAATTATGTCCAGTTTCTTATTGTTTACGCATAGATCGCACTTTTACGAAGAAAGCAAGCTTTTGTCGAATAAAATCTATGGATAAATACCGTAGTTAGGAACAATTGAGTAAAGGTACAAAAATTCCAATTCTACTCTGTTTTTGTATCATTCTCCTATTTATATAGGAAACGTTAATTTAATTCATTTCGATTAGAAATAAATGTATTGCTTAACTAACAATTATTCATAAACAAATTTCATAATAATATTTTGTTTACATAAAGAAATAAGTGTTTTCCTTCACATTTTTCAATTTTAATATTTCATTCGGCCAGTGAAAATATTTTTTTTCCAATTCGGTCCGGGGGCATAAACAGTTGGCCATCCCTGGTCTAAACCACGTGGAAAACCGTATGTAGACTGACGATATAGTAACAACAGAACAGACGACGACAGCGCCACAACGGAAAGCGCGACAGCGAGGCAGCCATATTGCCATACAAATCATCAAGATTTCACAGAAACGAAGCTCATCAAGTTTTTTGAAGCGACGAAGAAATATTTTCTCACGATTCTTTTTCTAAAATATTTTCTACATCACTCCGCATGCTACTCTAACGCCCGATTTGCAATTTCGGTCTTGAAACTTTATAAATAATAAAAGTATGGTTTCTTTTTTTGTTATAGAATAAATTTGTTTACAAACACTTTTTCCAAAATCGGGCCTTACAGTGTCATGCGCCAAGATATAAGGAATATTTCGCCATCTCTATACACGACTGGGAGCCAAATCTGGCATCACTGACACAAAATATGAACTCAATGGCACGTAAATGAATGATACTGACTTCACACAGGGCCGGTTGTAGCAATATTGGCGCCCCGCCCAAGATTATCGTGGCGCCCCTTCAGAGGTTTAACATTTTTAAGAAAAGAAGACAAGGTAATAATATCAAACGATGAATCTGTAGCTAGATTGTAAAGATTGTTAAACTACAATATATAGCAGCTTTACTAATCTACACCGGACTGCGATGCCTCCCCCCCACACCGGCCTTGACTTTACGTTCACAAGAATAGATCTTGGGGGCCCTGGTAATAGTCACTACTCCCCTACATCGAAAGATATGAAAACTAGAATTCGTTCTCCTTATACATCATTTAATAAAATGATGTACAAGTATGTTCGTATAAATTTTGTGAAAAGAATTAATGTATTTAAAAGTCAGCAGCTGTCATTTTGAACATTTAATAAAATAACGACTATTTTAAAATTTACTGATTTTAATTGTTTAAATGAACACTATTTGTTATTAAAGAGACAATTTTTCGTTTAAATAATTCCATTAAGACACTCTAACAGAGTTATTTGTAGGTTTTGTATGTCAAGGTAAAAAATATACACGTGAAGATACATCATATTAATCTTATTTGTACATAGTTCTTAATAATTATTTTACATGCATATTAGTATTTCACGATTGTTCTAATGATTTCGTCTAAAGTAACTGGCGCCATTAATTGATTTTTCAGTTTTACGAGATTTTATATTGCCTCTGTTATAATTTTGTTCTCTCGAATGAGATCTTCGTCGTTTGTGGTGTTTTTTCGCTTTCCACGATTCTGTTGTAGTTCGTGAACATCTTTCTCGTTTTTCTCGATCTTTGGAACAAGAAGCGTACGTTGCCTCAGTACGCTCGTATGTGTGATTATATCGAGAATTAAAATTTCCATGATAATCCTCTGAATCTTGAAAATGACGATACTTTGACGGAGATTCGTTAAATGATAGGGATGAATCTAGTATTGCTTCATCAGGATGTCGATTCGATCTTGGAACATTTACAATATCTACAGTTTTAGTACCACAAGTTGCGTGTACTTCTGGTACTTGGGTGTATAACTCCATTTGCTGATTTATAACCTCTCGAAGAATTTCTGTATTTGATTTTTTATTTGTATGAACACCTCTATGTTTAGCTCTACGTCTTTTTAAATTACGTTCTTGTACGAGTAACTCTAAGAAAGATAACTTCCTATCTTCCTTATCATCAGATTTTCTGGAACAAAGTACAAATTTTTTATAAAATTGTATGAATTCGATAGCGCCTTAACTATCAACTAGCTTGGTAAGGTAAACGGAAATAAATATTACTTATATAAACTTACAGATTGTGATCGTCGGTAATATCGTGTCCAATGTCTATTTTAACTGTATTAGAAACAACATATTCATATAATACTTTCTTCTCGTCGCTAGTGAAATCTGTGAAGATTCTATCAGATGTTCTTGGAATTAATCGCTCACCCGAACCTATCATCAGTGTTAAGAAATTGTGTTTTGAAAGGAGATATACATTATAAATACAAGTTAAGTGAGGAAACATACAGTGGGTATCTTATATTATTTAAATATTCAGCAAAGGACATGAAAAAGGATATATAGAGCTTGTGCCAAGTACAACATTCATAACTTTCTGGAAAAAATTAAGCACTTTAAAACATGTAAAGATAATTTTTTAAGTTTTGTTTTACTACACTAACCAACTTTCATGGTTGGGTCCTTTTCCTTTGCTTCTTGTAAAATACTATTTTGTAGCGATGCATCTGCAATTGAAAAAATGTATGATAAATATAATATCAAACACTAGATCAACAAATACTTGTTTAAACTAAAATTTAGTTGTGAATCTATATAGCGCTTACCTAGCTTCATGGAGAAAGGAGAGCTTAAAGGTAACATTGGTTCGGACAATGGTACATCGAATTCAGCATAACCCTCTTCCTTCCACTGGCAAAACTCTAAATGCTGATCAAGCATTTCTTTCCCAATTCGATGAGACGAATTATATGGACATACTAAACGATTATCATTCTAGTAAAATAAATACATGTTATTTATGTATGTAGATTTGAGAGCTATCGACTAACTTACGTCAGTTTCTATACTCTCTACTGTCCAACCTAAGGCAGAAGTAATATTCGTAATATCTTGATGAACTTCTTCCGTAAAATCGTTTAAATTTTGACATTGACCTTCGCGTTGAATCGACGTACAATTCAACATTTCTGCTTATCGTTGCAAGCCGTTGCGTACGATTGAATCCTACTTAGACACGGCACGTGACCTCTCCGATTCGGCAGGTCGGTATTACAGCAGCTACTCTCTGCATAGAAATAATATTACCATTAGATATGCGGCAGCGGAGGAAAACTAGATGAAGCTGCTTGTTATTGCCATACAGTATAGTTTCTTTTCAACAACATATACTGTATACGTCTTCCCTTGAGGGATTCTGAATGCTTAGCGTAGTAATTTTGAGTACGTTGATAGTGCAAGCGTAAAAAGTTAATTGTACATTTTAATTGTTCGAAATGTGTTTACGTTACAATAGTTGCAATAAAGAATTATGAATGAAAAGGAAAAATAGGTGACAGGATATTCCAAGAAAACGAAATTTGTTACATTAGACATTTCTTTATTAGCGAGAAGAAAAAATAAATGAGGGGAAATCCCCAGAAAATAAAGTTTCTTAGTTTACACATTTTTTACATGAAAATTAAAACGGTTAGGTTGGGGTAGATTAATACATAAATAGCAAATGGATATTGAAACACTGACAAAAAGGGATTTAAATTCTGACCTGTAAAGTACAAACCTTTTTTTATTAACAAAATACTACAACAAACAAGAATGCTATACACTTATTATAAGATTATTAAACGTCCTATGTAGAAAGCAGTTATTGAACAAATATTATGTATAAAATTAGGTTGAGACGATACCGTATCTCTTGAACTGTCACGCTGTACATCTTAGTTTCATCTGTAAGAATAAATAAGTTTAGCAATACGTACTTTTTGAATTTATACTACTTTAATGTAAAAACTGATACTTACACTTCCTGATGAATCCACTATTATTTTCCTATTTCTCCTAAATATTTCTTGCAATGATACTGACCCCTTTATTGTCATAGAACCTACAATAATAAGTTAGAATGAATTACAATCAATCTGCGTGCAATAAACATGTAAATGTACATGTTTCATTACATATACATGAATCCAAATAAATTCATAGATGTGAATAACAAGTACTTTCCCACTTGAATGTAAAGATCAATACCTACATTTTTTGAAGACTCCATTACTAGTGTTGATTATTTCTGAGAAATATTTTGTTGCAATGGCACTGACCCCTTTTGATTGCAGTTACTGGTTGTAGAACCTGTGGTAAAAAGTTAGAACAAGTTGTAATAACTCAGTATGCAATAAACATATTAATATATATGTGTTAGTTATATATTAGCATGCATACATTGCAAAGACTTACTTTCTCTCCTTTACGCATATTTGAGTGTTTCCTATCTCTGATAAATATTTTGTTGCAGTGTCGCTGACCCCTTTCAATTGTAGTTTCTGGTCATGGAACCTGTCAGAAAAAATTAGAACGAATTGTAATCAATTTTTATACAATAAAACTGTAAATGTGTGTATGTTAGTTACTTATTTGTATCCAAGCATTTCAAATACTTGCTTTCTTTTCTTGTTTCATACAGCTTGGTTTTCGCCTTCGATACTAGCCAGTGGAAATAACTGAAGCAAATTTCTAGATGAACGAAAAACTGAAGATTGTTTTCAATTAATCCAATTATTTCCATAACAAAAGTATAAGTGTCATACTTACACTTTTATACATATCATTACTCATTGAATTGAAAGAATAGCTGCAAGTAAAAATTATTAGGAGAGTTTGAAGAGTCCCACCACCACCCCCGTCATAGACGGTCCTCTTCACTCTGCAAACTCACATTTTACATATTTCTGTACTTACAGTTTGTTACATTGTTTCTTCCACAGCTTCTCCTATGTGCTCAATGCACTCGTCGGTGGACTTGTACATTGTTATTCAGCTGTTCGCATGCGCTCAATGCACTCGCCGGTGCATTATACGTACTTCATTTTGTACTCGTAGATTCTCCTTTTTTACATACGGAGGTTCTCTAATCGGCTGGTGTCGATTAAATCTGCTATCTACGATCTCTGGCAACATGGAGTCCTCATAAAACTTCTTGAGTTTTTCCTCCATCTGTGTTGCCCAGAATTGATCATTTCTTGGTACTTGTATAATTTTTACTCCTTTCGGCGTCCATAAGCTTTCTAATAAAACTAAAATCAATAAAATCGGTCTATGTACAACTGAGATATCGTAATATCATGTCATGAATCGGTCAGAAATTGTAGATTTTTCTTCTGATTCTGATTCTGATTCTTATTTTTTTCGTCAACACTTAGCCAATAGGAGCTAAGGCCATTCGTCGATTCGTCGATTCTTGGAATCAGTCGGCAATTCATTTCTAACCTCTAACTGTCAGTTTGGATTTGTGACATTTGGTTTCTTGCAACAAGACTTTCTGCCTTGCGTTCTGTGTGCTTTTGAAAACTTAAGGGACTGAATCTGGTATTGTAATATAATAAATTGTGCGTTATTCATATGACATTAATTTTATTTGTAAATAACACATACAAACCTTATTTTACTTGCAAATTAATGTAGAGCTTAAAATAAAAATACATTTGTCTTTTATTATAGTAAGTGTAGAATCTACAATATACATAATGTGTCTGAAGCCAGATATAGGAAAGAGACCAGCTTCAGTTCTTTAAGTTTCCAAAAGTATACAGAATGCGTGGCAGTATGTCTCACTGCAAGAAATTTAAATGTTAAAGATGAAGCGAAAAATGAAAAAAAGAAATCAAGTACTTGTAATGCATAATTTATTGTATTCGAATAAAGTTCAGAAGTACACAAAACGCGTGGCAGAAGTCTTGTTGCAAGTGTTACGTCCCAGCTTATCTGTGACTCTTTCTTCGGATCTCTGTCTTCAATTAAAGAGCTAAAGCTCACCTTAACTGTATTCGCTAACGGTAAAGAGCAATTCGGGATTGCAATGATTGTTTTCAAAGTTTAGCATATAAATATGTATTGTTACAAAATAACGAGTTTATATTACAATATCGGTTTTGGGAAATCAAGTATACAATTATGTAGGTACGTTACCGCTTGTCGGTCTTACAGTTTGGTTGTACCAGCTGTCTGTTGTGGTCCCGGGGCTGTGCTGTTGCAAGGATCTGTTTGTCGGCAACTATCATTCGCGACACGGGTCTCTACTAATTAACAACGAACTTTCCTCGGCAACGACGCGGCGCGCGTACGATTACTCTATCCGTGACTACAATAATTTAGTAATTGACGACCAAAGCATGACACTGAGTGCGTGTTCGATTAACGATAAAGGTTTGATGTGATCTTAACCGATTATACGTCGGACTTTCGTAGGTAACGACAACGCGTGAAGTTAACTTGTCCGCGACTACAAGATTTCGGTAATCACCACGATGAGAACGTACTGACAGCGGAATAAAAAAGAGAGCACCGTGGGGCGTGTCCACGGGTTTATGTATTAGCTGATCCGCGCATGGCACGAGCCGCAACGAGAATTCAAGTTCAGCGGATGTGCTGGCGTTGAGCGCTGACGCCTATTTCGCTGATTCGCGGATCGCACGATTCGGTTCCCGAGAAACGGTTTCCGAATCGTTTGTCAAGCGCATTCCTAAAAGTATCTGATCTAACTATGTGCAATGCGAGGTCGATGAAAAGGGGCACCAGCAGGGCCGAATGTAACACAAGAAATTCAAAAGTTAAAGATAAAGTGAGAAATGAAAAAAGAAATCCACTATTTGTAACGCACAATTAATCGTATTGCAATATCAGTTTCAGTCCTTAGAATTTTCAAAAGTACATACAATGCATGGCAGAAAGTTTTGTTGCAAGAAATTTAAATAATGAGAAAATGAACAGAGATCCACTATTTGTAATAGATAATTTATTGTATTACAATAATATAGAAAAAAAGAGGTCAGACTTAGTCCTTTAATTTCTCAAAAGTACCCACGACACATGACAGAAAGTCTTGTTGCATTTAAATGTTACTCATAAAGTGATTACATTTTTTCTTTAATAAATTTCTTGCAATGAGACTTCCTGCAATGCGTTCCGCGTACTTTTGAAACCTTAAAGGATTCAAACTGATCTCCCATTTTCTATTATTTGAAGTCATTCACTATACAAATTATCTTTGTAAAAAGAAATGAAAACTCCATAAAAAACTTCAAAAAAGTAAAAAAATTACGCCAAGTATTTGAAAAAGTGGAGAATTCAAGGCGTTATCATTGAAAAATAGAAGATCCACCTAAAAAAATTCAAGAAAGTAGAAAAAGAAGTGAAATCGAAATGAACTGCCGGTACATGAAGGTGCTTTCCAGCAAAGTGCAAAGGCGACTCTGTATAACACAATGAAAAATTCAGTGCTTTCCAACTATGCGCAGCTAAAATGCTGTGTTCAACAGTGCAGACGTTCAGACCCTAATGACAACTCATGTAAACTGACTGTTCCGCACTTCGGCAGCGAAATGAAGAAGCTAAATAGTGTATCAACCACAAACTGAGACTGTTTAGACATTTGCCTAGATGTCCGTGGCCTGGAAGTCAAATGCTTGGCATGGCCAGGCAAGGTCAAGGTTGTGATGAATAAGAATTATTTTAAAATGTAAAATAATGAAAATGTACTCATATTGTCAGCGTTTTAAACTGACAAATTCTCTGAAAGCCTATGAGGGGAAGGGTACCTGCGTCAATGAATGTCCTTAGAAAAATTTTAAAATACAATAAAATGAAAATGTACTCATATTGTCAAAGTTTTAAATTGACAAATTATGTGAAAGTCTGCGAGAGAGAAAGTATGGGTATTGATGATCTGAGAATGCTTTGCCTGGCCACGCCAAGCATTTGACTTCCAGGCCACGGACATCTAGGCAAATGTCTAAACAGTCTCAGTTTGTGGTTGATACACTATTTAGCTTCTTCATTTCGCTGCCGAAGTGCGGAACAGTCAGTTTACATGAGTTGTCATTAGGGTCTGAACGTCTGCACTGTTGAACACAGCATTTTAGCTGCGCATAGTTGGAAAGCACCGAATTTTTCATTGTGTTATACAGTGTCGCCTTTGCACTTTGCTGGAAAGCACCTTCATGTACTGGCAGTTCATTTCGATTTCACTTCTTTTTCTACTTTCTTGAATTTCTTTAGGGGCATTTTTTATTTTTCTATGATTACTCTTTAAGTCCTCCACTTTTTCAAATACATGGCGTAATTTTTTTCCTTTTTTGAAGTTTTTTTATTACATTTATTAATCCAATTAACTGATTACAGTTTCAAAAGTGATTGGCTGCTATGATATATGTAATATGTATACACCAGCGCCACACAAAGTTTTGAACATTTCCGCCCGCCTTGACCCGTCCGAAGGGGTCAATGAAGCTGTAAGGTGTGAGAGACAGTTAATGAATTGAATCGTGCGCCATTCCGAGATGTTCTCTTGGTGTTGGTAGTACTCATTCATTGCCGCACGTGTTCTATTCATATTTCGTGTGTCGCGTGGAAGTACTTGATTGGTGGAAATTGTTTTTCTATTATGCAGTGACGATCGGAAGTAACTTAGAAGGGCGTAAACTTCCATTAAAGAGCGTACGTTACTGAGTGATGAATGAAAAAAGGTGTAGATAGTATTCAGTTACGTTATAGTGAATCTAAAGGAACTGTTTAGGCTAAAAACCAGAATCATTTGTCGGTTAAGGGTGCGCAGGAGACCCAGCAAAACTCCGAGGTGACTTTAGCGACAGTTGCGGAGAAAGTAGGAAGCTCTGGGACAAGGATAGATAGATCCTTGTCTCTCTAATGATGCTGTGACAGAGAGGGAGATACATCAATCGGAGGAGAGACAAAGACAGAATGATGTCAAACGTTTGCAATTTTCCAAACAGTTATTGTAATTTTATGAGGCGGGGAAGCGACCTTACCGGCTGATTTTTTTTTTAAACTGTTCCTTATAAAATACCGTTGCGGGGGACAGTTACACATTTTGGAATTCGCTTTTAAAACGTGCTAAATATACGTTTAAAGACAAGAAATTTTTTTGGGTCTTTTTCCAAAAATCTGTAACTATCCCCCGCAAGAGCATTTTACAAGGAACAGTTTGAAAAAAAAATCAGCCAAAAAGGTTGCTTCCTCGACTCATAAAATTACATTGGTGGTCTCGCTACGATTGAGACGATTCATATGCCAACATGGCTGCCTCAATATCGTCCTTTCCACCGCAGCACTGTCGTCGTCTTCCTTTCTGTTACC